AAAGATGCAAAACCCCAAAAGAAAACACCAAAAAAACGAATAAAATGAAAGTGGATAAAATGTTGAGTCATTTTTATGGTAAACACAACAGACATTGATTGCATCGTCAAAATTTGAGGTCATTTATATATTGTGTAAGTCAATATTAGGGCTGTGCGATTAATCGAAATCGAATCGCAATTTTCAATTCAATTCAATTCAGCTTTATTTGTATAGCACTTTTACAATGTAGATTAGTAACTGAAACAGTGTAGTTCAGTTTTTAGTGTTTAAGTTCAGTTCAGTTTAGCTCAGTTCAGTGTAATTTAAAATCATTACTGAGAGTTCAAACACTGAAGAGCAAATTCATTGATGCGTGGCTCAACCAATCTTGAACCATGCGAGCCAGTGGCGACAGCGGAGAGGGGAAAAAAAGTTCACCTGATAGGAGAGTGAAGAAAAAAAACCTTGAGAGAAACCAGACTCAGTTGGGCACGACCATTTTAATTTCTACGCTGGCCAAAAGTCTTGTGCAGAGCTTCAGTCACCGCGGTGGAGGCTGAAAGCTGGCCTCAGCGAAGACTTGTCTGTTCCTGGAGCATCACTGGAATCAGACTCATGTTCTCCACCCCCCATGACCACCAGCGCAGCAGCAGCTCAGGACAATTTTAAACATTGCAATTAGTTCATCGCAAGAGGCTGTGATATGAAATGTATCTTCAATTGCCCCCGCCCAGAGCAAATGCGTGACTGACGTCTGTGTGTGACAGTCTTATGCTGAGTTCAGACTGCGTGATTTAACCCCGATTTTGACTCTGCGACAGGTTTTGAGAAATCGCAGACAAATGCTTGAAATCCCAGGCAAATCGGTGCTCGTGCACGTGAGTGACAATCACACAGTATGAACTATCAAAGACGCAATCTGAGACAATCGCCGATGCCCGTGAGATATTTGCCGTGCTAAATATCTAGAGCTGTTGGCAATTCAAATCATGCAGTGTGAAATGAGTTTTGACTGAAAATAACGTCAGCGATCGCCTACAGCCAATGAGAGAGCAGCATTCACTTGTGCGTGTGTGTGTGTCTGTGTACCTGCTGGCCAGCGGGAGGCTGGGGGAGAAGTTAAAAGCGCTTAATTTTCATTTTATTTGGACCCAAGATATGGAGGAAAAACTAGTGGAGGTTTGACAGGAGCCCCCATGTCTGTTTGACGTTTCATACAAAAAGTTAAAAAAGAAAGTTGAGGAGAAATGGCTAATTCCCTTCAAACCCAGGCGAGCAAATATGTACATTTTCTACCCCATTAAAGGCTTCTTTCTCGTTATGTAGCTAATAACAAAAGCTATACTACGTGTTTTTGGCTGAGATGTAGTTTGGACGAAGTTGTCGACGATTCTTCCTATAGTAAAGTCATGCAATGTAAAAGTTCCTGTCGCCGATCCATCTTGCAGTGTAAATAAAACAGCGACAAAACGCTAGCCCAGATGGTCATGCAGTGAAAACATCTGCGACACGACTACTTTGAAAATCATGCAGTCTGGACTCGGCATTACTAGCTAATTGAGTGACCACACTTTTGTTCTGCCCAATTGGCTAGTAAGACTGTCACACACAGACGGCAGTCACGCATTTGCTCTGGGCGGGAGTAATTAAAAAATACATATACATTTCATATACATTTATGCAGAACGCCCACAATAACAAGAAAAAATAAAACAAACGGAAAAGCTTGGACAAGTGGGATAATGGCTTCTGCTGCTTCAAAATCATTAATAGATGAATTAATATCAAAGAAAAACAGCACTGGTAATATGGGAATATTTTGGTTTCAGTCACAGACACCAAACAAAAGTACAGAATTAAATCACAAATCAAATTAAAATATCTGTCAAAAAAATAAAAAATCTCAGATATTTTCCCTAAATCGCACAGCCCTAGACAATGCAGTCATAATTGTGACAGCCTCTGCTGTATCTAGCTTAGTTGAAATGGTGTGCAACATCCCTGTACCCAACATACCTTTGTCTAACACTGTTATTTTCCCCTTTTTATTGTAAGATACTCCTTGTGTCTGCACTACTGGAGCATCCAACCATTCTCTGCCCCTCTGCCTCAGTGGGAGAAGAAACGGCTCTCGAACTGCTGTCCATCTTTTCCCAGACACCGCAGAAGTCCATCAGCCTCAAGTGTAATGTCATGCTGGCGATCACCAATGTGATAATATGCACTTCCTGTTTGGCCACGCACACAAAGATGGCTGAAGACTGGCTGGACCTTTTATTTCAGACGATTCAGGACACCAATGACTACAGATGCGGTCAATCCCAGCAGCCTTTAAGAGCCACTGCTTGTGACTGCCTACGAGAAATGGAAACCTGTAGCCCCGGTCTTCTTTCTCAAAAGTTGGAGGCCTTGTATCTTCTCAAACAGCAAGAAACTTCAGTTCTGCATCAGTCCTATTGTATTCTGTATACACTAGGATTGAAGAACGCAATACGGATCTTGACGAACCAAAAAGAGGTTACTGATTTCGAGTTTAAGAGCATATTAGGAGGAAATGAAGGGTTTGCATGGAGAACTAATCAGAATTTCTTGCCAATTAACATGATAGTGCAAGTCCCACAGTTGCCACAAGGACTGGATTGTAAAGAACTCAAATCGATAATGTCTTTACTTCTGGAGGAGTCCTACCTACTAACACCAATTTCCCAGTCTTCCCTAATGAGGGATCTTGTAGAAGTTGTTGCAATGGTGCCTGGACTTTCTCCAACACTATTTAAATCGCAGCTTCTGCGACTGTTTGGCACAGCAGAAGTCGTGCTCATGCATGCCACGCTCTTCATGAAAGACACCTTCACAGATAGTCTTTTCACCGCTGAGGATGAGAACTTTCTGCTTAAGCGTCTGGTGGGATCAGCCCAGCATCCGCTCCTAAGAATTCCCGAAAAACTCTTCTACATGGACTGCATCCTGCATTTCCCTGAAAACCGACCTATATCTAGTAGTGGTGAAGAATGTTTACCTGTGCTGGTTACGCCACGTCTTGCAGCATCTCTTCTCCCTACGGTTTTCAATGATAGTGCTACTATGCTCTGCAGACTGAACCTTCTGTGCCTGGTGCACCTTGAGGCAGATGAGGGTGAAGCGGATAAAGGAATCGCCTACCTGTTCGATCACATAATGGCACTTTTGAAAATCGTAGACAGCGATGGTAGCAGAGAAGTAGTCGTGACGTCTTTCAGGGCATTGTTTATTTTTCTCAAGCACTTCAATGGTATGGAAGAACTCTCGGAGAAGCTGATCGACAAATTACGTGATATTTATTCCAGACATTGCAGACTTGCTCCAAATCTAATTGGCCTTGCAGATCGAATTCAAGAGTGTCTAGACGACCCCATCTGGTCGGTTAAGTTGTTGAGAGGACTTCAGAAATGCATTATGGAGATGCCTCCATTGCAATTGACGATTCACAATTTGAGTTGGCACTTGAAAGTCTTGAAAAGAGTGGCTAAAGAGGGTCAGATCACCCAAAGGAACACCATTTACCTTCTTCTCAACGTTCTCATCAACTCTAACTTGTGTGAACGAGGCAAGTGGCAGATTGGAAACGCAGTTCTTGCTGTTTGTCGCAATCTTTTGGAGCACCCTTCGATTGATCAGGTGTTCATCGAGTTGGCAGATCTTTTGCAATACATTTCAGTTAATTACAATGACACGGACATCAAGGACCACGCTCGCTTCTACTACACATTGCTAACCAATCTTTCATGGGAAAAGCTGACAGGGGTTCTTGCCAAAGGTCCTGATGGAGGACGTGCCAAAGAGCGCTCGCATTCAGCAATTATGGCTGAGAGCGAAGGGATTGCGAGTAACCTGACTGTGTGCAAAACTGAACGGCATGTTTTGCAACTCATTAAAATCCAAGATAAAGTCTCGCAAAGCACTTCAGAGAGTTCTGAATCATTGGAGGATACAGGAGAGGCTAGGAACTGGTTGGAGGTTTATCAAGAACAATTCCAGACACCTGGTTTTGGTTCGGAGGTCACTTTAAGGTACAACCTGACTCATGCAGAAGAAACCGATCCTTTATTCGATAGAGTCTTTTCAATCTGTCTGCATTTTGAGTTTAAAGATTCAAACTACGCAAAGGTGAGTGACATACATGTACCATGTGTGTTTAGAGACCGAAAGCCTCCTGAAGTCAATGTCCAGCTTAAACCATTTCAACCCTATCCAACTACTCTATGCTTCAGTGCAATGTTTACCACCCAAGATGGACGCTCATGGCACAGCCAACTGCCTGACGTGAGCATTTCATTCCCAGAGATATTCCTACCTCTACCTATAGCTACAAACGCATCAAGTGCATGCAGAGAGCAAGTGTTTGATCACATCTGGGAGTCTGCAGCCTCTGGGAATCCTGACAAATCCGCCATTAGTTTGTTCTGTTTTAAACCCGGAGATGAAAGTCTAGCCGATCTGATCAAGACACATTTTCAGGGTTACCTGATTACAGATCAGCAAAGTGAACGATTTTGGAAAGTCTTGTTCTTTCTTCCACCGATGTGCCATGTGCTTTTGAGAATTACACAGGCTGAAGATGCCGTTCAGGTCAGCATCGCAACGGACAATTGGGAGCTATTACCGTTTGTGAACTCTTACCTCCGAAACATTACTGATGATTGTAGCACAACAGTAACAGATGGCTAAATGGATACTTCGCAGTTTACACCGATGATTTTAAACCAATTAAATATATTTTATTAGTTCATTATTTTGATATAGCAAATTTCTTTTTGTATATTAAACCTTTCACTAACGTGTCTTTAAAAATGATATAGGTCCACATTATACTGTTTCGTGTGTAGGAAGCAGTGCTTTTTTACTGCTTTACCCAAAATCAAGGTACTGAATAAATGATTTAATGAAATCCAAATGCCTAAAAGACATTAGTAGTTCTTAAATAAAAAGATGCACAATTAACAACATATTCACAGGTCGAGTAGTGACAAAGCAACCCATTCTGAAAAAATGAATTTGAATTTAATTTGTGTTGTATATTAACAAACAACTCGTATATTTTAAAACCAGGTGGTCATTATTTAAGATTGTTCATGAGTGTTCTATGTTCTCTCACTGTGAAAGGCCTTCGAAATTGGGCTCTGTGCAGGCTGGCAGAGCAGTCTGTCTATTTAACAGTTTGTCCATGATGCCAATTTCAGCGTCCCGTTTCTCAACGTCTTCCTGAGGTGTCCAAGACATGTCGTGTTGGAGTTTGTATCCGCCAAGAAACTTGTGAGGACAACTGGCACCCCATTCCTATAAGAGAGTAAAACAGTATGTGAAATTAGCTGTTAATTATTGTACTTTGCTTCGGTTATGCCTTGTTGGAAATTCATGAAGCGAAGGCCAGGAGTCTCTGGATGTAACTTTAAGCAGGACTCAATATTAAGAACTCAACAAAGTCTGACTAAGGCAGTTAAATTGTATTTATAGGCATTCAACTGGCAGTCTTTCTATGTGTCTCAGGAATGACTGCTTAACAAATATGTAAATGGCAAAGCAGGAAGCAACCCTAACTATGAACTCAAGCAAAGATAGCCCCTTTAGGATTACAGAACCAAATAGTTCAAGCCACACCTGTTATGAAAACTGGTGACATAAACATTATTACACAGCAGGACTGGCCACTCAGTTCACCTTAGGAATGATTAATATTCTTGCGTCACACGTATGGTTCGACGCAGCCTTTCGTGCGGTCGCATAGCCCTCACCATGGCTGACGCCGACACTTACCTCCCAAAAAATTTAACTAAAAGCTGCAACAACACATATTGCAAGCTCTGTGATTGGTTGGCTAGGTAGCAGGGACGAGTGTGGGCGGTGCTGATAGTTGTGAGGCCAATGGAGTGATTGTTTACAAGTGTCGAGTCCCGTAAAGGAGCTCCGGATGGATTCTTTTGTTTTGTGTTTACCTTATGATTAAAGATTTTGCTCGTCCGCCGGTTCCCGTCTCAGAATAAGTGAGTTTAAGCTACTTGTGCATTAAGGTATTGTTTAGAAAAAAACAAAACACCTGTGAAGAAACTCGACAGAGGAACATAAAAACCTACTGCCATCAAGTGTTTCGGAAGTGTTATTGCAGAGCAACACAAAGAGCATGCTGAATTATAAATGCACGACTACGCGCAAGGTAGACGCCGTGGGTCACAGCGATTACTTGACGCAGAAGTAGAAACCAGCATTTAGGGTGCAGTTGGCCAAATGATTAGGAAGTTGGACTTGATTCTCTGTCCCGACACGAATTGAAGGTGGGGGAGTGAATGAAACGCACTCTTTCCACCTTTGATACCCAGGTCATGTGCCCCTTAGCAAGGCACCTAACCCCTCACTGCTATGGTGTGCACGTCGCACTCGATTGTGTCCACTTGGATGGGTGAAAAGCAGAGGACCAATTTAACCTTACTTACAAGACTTGACAATATTGTATTGACAGTATTCTAATCATACTCGACAATACTCACTTCACTTTAGTTTTATGTAATGTTATATCAGAAGTAGATCTTAATCAGATTCCTAAAGGGACAGTTCTACCAAAAGATTTAAACTGACTCACTATTTACTCACCCTCAAGCGATTAAAAAACCTTTATTAGTTTCTTTCCTCTATGAAACAGGAAGATGATTTGTAGAAAGCTGAAAACCTGTTATCACTGACCTCCATGATAGGAAAAACCAAACCTATGAAAGTCAACGGTTACAGCTAACGGTTACAACGGTTTCCAAAGAAAGAAACTCAAACAGAGTTGGAAGTAAATGATGACAGAATTATCATTTTTGTGTGAACTATCCCTTTAAATTTAAAACAAGTAAGCAGCACATTTTAAATGTATAATTCTTTAGTGCTATTATTTTGTTTCTAGGAAGACTTTTTTTTTGATTACCATTACTAGTCATCACCAACCAATTTAGATTACACTTAATTACACTTATAAAAATGGATAAAACCAAAGCTTATATTCCCGCCTGGTATTAACAAGTGTTTTCAGTAATCCTACCACATGGGATCAGCTGAGATGCATTACCATATACACTTAAAAATCTTAAAATCTCTGTGATGAACTCTTCTATTCCATTTAGTCATGCTTTACATCATTATCAAGGGAGAAAACTTCAACTGAAAAAGTGGAAATGGCTCTTAGAGACTCAAACTTACCCGTGGAGACAAAATGGAGAAGTACCGCTGTCCCGATTCACGCATGTAAAGATAATACATGTTTCCTGGTTTCTTCACAACATTGCAGGCAGCGTGGTGAAGCTCAGCATCTTTCCTAGCATCTTCCAAAACCTGAAGAAAATAAAACCTTTCATCTAAAAAATCACTTAACCATGTAAAAACACGGCTAATATGGACAACAATATCATGAAACTTTTCCAAATGCAAAGGAAAATGTATTTAGAGCATGGTTGTGAAAAAGTCACAGCTTCTAGTTCAGAAACATTTATTCATTCATTCAATTTCTTGTCGGCTTAGTCCCTTTATTTTAATCCGGGGTTGCCACATCGGAATGAATCGCCAACTTATCCAGCAAGTTTTTACGCAGCGGATGCCCTTCCAGCCGCAACCCATCTCTGGGAAACGAAACATTTATATACTGATGTTTTATATAAATACTCATTTTGCTAACATTTCAATCTCACCTTTCTTGCTTGCTCCTGAAGGTATCTTATTTGATCAGCAATGACTGTAAGTCTGTTGCAGGCGTTGGCTCTGATAAACTCATCTCCCTAAAATCCACACAAAACCCAATAAAACTGATGATTGATGGACAAAGATTACAAAAACCATTTCTGTATCACAAGTGTAATAAGAAAGACAAATGCATCGCTTACCTTCTGCACTTGCTGTGCCAGAGAAACCAGATCCATAGGATCTCCAACCCGGTTAGTCTGGTAAGGACTCACCAGAACCATTCCACTCGGGTTACTGCTGGTCTCCACCAAAGTTACTGTAATATTAGTATACACAGCACAGATGTGTATTTGCATGTAGAATAACACATTGATTAAGTGGAATATTCCCTTTACTACACTGTATTATGGGAATCCAGGATTTCTGGAGGTTTAAGTTAAATTTAAGACTTTAAGAACTTTTCAAGACAATTATGAAAGAAATTTTAGACTTACACAGGGCTAACGAGAAAAGAAAAATAAAATTTAGCTATTCCTTAGCTATATATTTTAAATAATGTGTCAACAATCAAACTAACTGTATTCATACACTTACATAACTTATGTTTTTTTTTATAACATTTTTTTAGAAACAATAATAAATGTATTGACAACAGTCAGTCAGTGTCAACATTACAGGCAGCATGGTGTTGTACTTTGATAGTCATTGGCTGCTATTATGATTTCACTAGTTAGAATTTGCAAACATTACTTTTGTAAAATTGTATTATTAAGGAGAAAGTCTAAATGTGTGAATATAAAACCAACTTTACCTCAATATGTCCCTGATGTAGTTTTGCATCATGGTTTAAAATGCAACATTATAAGTTATTAAATATTGTATAAGTAGGCCCACCCGGAATCTGTGTGCGCAGAATTCCGCAGATTTTTACCCCATTATTAATTCTGTTCATTTACTTGAGTAAATGTGTGTAAATCTATATTCATTCAGTTTTTTTTTTATTAATTTCAGTAATATTATTGACTAATGTGAAAATGTTTATCTGATTTATGTACAATGCAGTTTGTACAGTAATGTTTTCTGTTTTTAACTAGATATATTATATCACAAACTTGCTTTATTTACCAAATGAAGTGAATCTATTTGGATTTGCAATTTAATCATTAAATAAAAGTCCCAAAATAAGTCTGCAGAAATCCACAGACTTTTACCAAATATCCTTTCTGGGTAAACTATACCTACTGCTCGGTTTATACAGTGAACTTTTTCCCAGATTGTAAATCTTCCTCATTCACAACAGTCAGTCAGTGTCGGTGTAGTTATAAGTGCAATTGAACCAATATTATTGTACACAGCATAATTAAACTATATTGATGAACATAGTTAATGAGTAAAACGTGTTAAAAGATTTACTGAGATGTATTGTTGGTGATTGGATAGCTTTACATGGACATATGAAAATTAGGACCTGTTTAAAATTATTTTAAAAGATCTACAACACAATATTTCAGTGTATATAAGACTTTTTAAGGCCTACATTTTAGTTTTTAAAATGTAAGACATTTTTAGACATTTATGATTCCTGCAATTATAATTTATGTAAAATTAACATAGGTACTAAAATAACTTTAGCACAAACTTTAGTTTTGCATTATAGTTTCAAAATGCAACATTATATTAATACAAGACATGTTTAGAACAGATAAAATGTGTAATTAATCGCAACTCATGGCCATCATGCATTTTAATCAATTGACAGCCCTACAATAAATACTACGGAAGACAATTGCAGCTGCTTTCCAACATTCTTCAAAACATCTTCCTTTGTGTTTAACAGAATTAAAATATATGTTAAAGGTTTGAAACAAGTGGAGGATATTAAATTAAGAGTTTTCCTTTATTGCTTTGCTCAGCTCTGAGCTTCCACAGGAATTCAGCAGGAAACTACAGGTACAGTGTTTTGTAAGAGTTATTATGTAAGAAGTTTGATAACCTCTCGTGAGTGGAAGTAAACAACCAGGTTAATGTAGAGCAGAGGTTTACGATGTTTAATAATAATGATAATAAAGTTAAAAATGTACTATTCAAAATATGTTTTGCTAACTTTTATATGAAACTAATTAACCTTTAAGTAAATATCAGTAAAGGTGAGCCAATAACGAGACGTTTGAAAGCTGTCAACTATTAATAATCACAAAATGATTACTTTTAAGCAAACACTTTTAATGAGTTGTTATTATTTTTCATATTTTACTAACAATATGTTAATATTAATCATTTACTAGATTACCGTTAGGTAACGTAGTAAAACAACAACAGCAGCTGCCAAAGAATGCGCTGTAATATGACTGGATTTATCATTAAAAGCATTTGTCTTACCCGTAGTGGTTTTATTCGGTTGGTGTGGCACACTGACACTTCTATCCATGTTTACTGAAGTATTTCCAGCACAATAACTCGAGAACCGCACCGGTGTAACATAAGTCTAGCACGACACGGAGGAGGCGTTTCTAGGGTCCTGTTAGGTTTCCTGCTTTTAGTAGCAGCTGTGTAGTTGCCTGCAAAAAAATAATTGTATTTTAGATATCTACTCGATTAAATATATATTTAATATATGGATAAAATTGTGTACATGTTTCTAAAACAATAATTGAATATTGTAAGACTCATTAACATTCATTATAAATATATATTTTTAAATAAACCGATCGTGCATGTTTAGAGGTAGCCCTCGCGTTAAACATTCAACCAAACGGTATTATCATGTAAAATAGTAGAGAATGTTGTAACGCGAGTAAGTTATGAAAGTGCTGAGTTTGAACTTATAAAACACAAAAATGCAAGTCTGTACAAGTTTATCATTTGTTTATCAAGTTAAATCATTTTACCTTTAAATACTTAGAAAGAAAGAAAGCATTTATGCTTTATCACAGTCTGTAAATGAATACATTCGATATATGTTGTAGCTAACAGTTACTGAGAATGTAAAATGTAAACTGCAAATTTAAATACATTTAATAAGTAAATAAAACAGGAATGTAAATATTAAATTAAAAAATTAAATTTTAAACCATGCTAAAGGCCTTGGTAGCCTGTAACATTTCCTAACTTGGTTATTTCAAATTGGATATCTGATCATGTTGTTACGGTGGCTCAGTAGTTAGCACTGTCGCCTCACAGCAAGAAGTTTGCTGGTTCGAGTCCCAGCTGGTCAGTTGGCATTTCTGTGTAAAGTTTGCATGTTCTCCCTGTGTTGGAGTGGGTTTCCTCCGGGTGCTCCAGTTTCCCCCACAGTCCAAAGACATGTGGGACAGGTGAATAGGGTAGGCTAAATTGTCCAATAATATCCAGCTGCAGAACTGCACACGTTTTAGGCACACTCTATATATAACACTGTTATATATGTCCCACTGCTAATAGTCATGCCTTCACTTCCACATTAGAGTTTGCAATGTTTTGACTCATATGTTTTATAAAATTAATGCATATTGGCGATAATAATAATAATATATTCAAAGATGACAGAAAATTGTAACCTTTTGCATTGTTGGTTTGCTTTGGAAACATTTGATGGAAGTGAAATTTAAAATGAAAAACGCAGTCTAAGATTTGTTTGCTAAATAATGGATGAAGTATGCTTGCGGTGAACCTTAACAAGATCATAGTCAGATATATTTCAAATTAAAAGATTAAGCGAGTAAATCTAGAAAATGTTGTATACTGTTAACCCACCCATGTGTTATTAAAAAAAGGTATTACTTTCATCCCTGCTGAAGGGGTCAAAAGTAACAATGTGCAACTTTTGTTGAAAGTAAAATTATTTTGAAGTTGTTCTACATTGATACATTAATGTGGGCTTTTTTTAAGCTGCCACTATGCTGACACATAGGCATTTGTAGCTCCACCCTCTTTTAAAAAGAACAAAATCTAATTTGAATTTAAAGCGACAGTCACCAAAATAACATAATTAGGATCAAAGCCTAAAACGGGCAGTTTTAAAGAATTACAAAACATTGTGTGTGTTATTTTAAGCTAAAACTTCCCTCTAGGGACATCAGAAACTTGTTTTATATCTTGTAAAGTGTGGCATAATCGATCCCCTTTAAATTATAACTATAAAAAGTTTGGGTTTCTTTTAATTTTTTAAAAAGATACCAACTCCATTACTTTACATAATACTGTAACTGCTAGTTTTACTTCACAATGTTACTCAACTGTTACTCAACCTCAACTGTTACTTAAATCTTCTAAATCTGAGACCAGACCCGTTTTCACACAGTTGCCCTAAATATCTCGCTCCCCACACTGGCTTTCAGAGCTCCTCCCTCTTCAGAGACTTTAGGACAGTCTCCAAAACCGAGATCTACCTCCTCGCAGGCCTCCAGTAGTCTCCAAGATGTGGACCTCACTGTGCCTCATCTCAATCCTCTCCACTGTCCACTTCACCCGGTGTGACCCTCAAATCAATGCGGGATTTCAGCCGTACGACCTGCTCTTCGACAACGCGGTGGAGGCGTATTATAAGCAGGACTGGCTGGCTGTGATCCTCAACATGGAGAAAGCGCTGCGGAATAAAGGAGCGCTGCGTAAAATACAGACGCACTGTCGCCTGTCCTGCGCCAATAACACCGCTTTTGGGGAGCCTCTTCCCGGTTTGGGCATCCCGATCCCAGGCTCCGGCTCTGTGGAGGATTTAGCGTTTTTCCAGAGGATCCTCCAACGGGCCGATTGCGTGAATGCGTGTGAAAGCGAGAAACTGGGACCGGCGACCCTGCATAAAGTTAGTGAGAATGTTGAGCTGGAGTTTAAGAAGAGGACGCCGTATAATTACCTGCAAGTGGCCTACTTTAAGGTAATATGAAAAGTGCATGAAAACTTTTTAGTATGAGAAAAGTGTGATTTAACTTTAAAGCTAGATGGAGAATACAATCTGTGCATCTCATTTTTTTGTAAACGAAGAATATCGATTGTTATATACGATGTCTGTCATGCGTTTTGATAAAGTTGATATAGATGTTTGTGTACAAAATGCAGATGTCATTGAATGGTTAAATGTTTGAAAAGCTCTTCCACGTTTCCCCAAACCCCCCCCCCCCTCCCCCCCTCCAAACTCACATTACTGTGCCACGTCTTTAGGTGGAGCCTTGCAAAGCCTCTCTGATGCTTCCTGAGCTCATGAAAGTCATAAAACACCACTGCTTTGTGAAGTGATGGTTTAAAAGTGATATAAAGTCGTGTACCTGAGCTTCAGGTCACTATATCAATTTACTTCAATAATGATGACATGGGTAATGATGTGCAACACAACTTGTAATAATAAATTGTGAGTGAGCTATTACTAAATATCTTTTTAAGGTTGTTACTTTAACTTAATGTCATTTTTTACTTGAAATAAAACAACCAAGTTGCCAATCAAATATTTATAATATAGCCTAATTTAGTTTACATTACAAAGAAATTCAAACTGTGAATTAAATTACAAAAAGCATTAATAATAATAATAATAATAATAATGGTAAAATAACACATTGAACACACTCTCCATGGGCCTTATGTATTTTATACAGTAAAAATGCTTATTATATGACCCTTAACCCAATCCTCATGTGAAACATGTGGCAAATTTGAACTGTAATAGAGTAGAACCATGTCATATACCCATGTCATTATACAAATAAACTGCCCTTGTAAACCACACACACGCGCATGTTTGCTTTTGTGAAAAGTGGGTACATTACATAGGTTTCCATTCATTTTATACTGTTTAAACCGTGTATTGTATTGACCTCACCCCACCCTACCCCTAAACCCAACCATCACAGGAGACTATGTAAAGCTTTACTCTCTTATTAAACTCATCCTGTGTGATTTAGAAGCTTTTTGAGAAATGAGGACGTCACCAATGTCCCCATATTTTACCTCCTTTTTGTAATACCTGTGTCATACCCATGTCATACAGATTTGTGTCCTGATATGTCACAAGAACACGTACACACACTCACACACACGCTGCATATGTAATTAGAGTGAGCTGTACTCAAAAATTTAAATAGCTACTCAATATTAAAATAACATTTAGCATATATGGATTTTTTTTGTAGTTTGAGTTAAATAAAAAATCAAGACTATTACTAATCTTGATAACATTAAACACACATTCATTCATTCATTCATTCATTCATTTTTCTTCTGCTTAGTTTATCAGGGGTCACGACAGCGGAATGAACCGCCAACTATTCCAGTATATGTTTTACGCAGCGGATGACTTTAGCCTCCTTGTTAGAGCAACCGACTCCCATGCAAAGAATTGCCGATTCGATCCCAGCTCATTCCAGGTTGGGTGCAGTAGTACAGGTGTGTTACACATGGGGGCTCGTCTGGGATTGGAGTGAGGTTTGGGGGGGGTGAGCTTAATGGAGGCCAGCGAACAAAGTGCTATGCAGGTAACCTCACTCCTTTGACCTCTAAAGGTGCTCTAGCAACAGTCACTAAAAGCCATGGTCTTTAGCCTCCTTGTTAGAACAACAGACTCCCCTACAAAGAATTGCCAGTTCGATCCCATGTCTGAGCAGAATGGGTGTAGTAAGACCGGTGGGTTACATTTATTTTTCTTACATGAATCACACATTTCATGTCACAAAATCTCTGTGTGTTAATAGGAACCACGGCTATTGATTTGGACTTGTTTGTATGGTCTTTTTTATCAAAAAATCGATCACCAATCACTGCAATTATATGAATCACCAAGGACCACAGATTAAGCTCAAAATCTACTTTAATGTTCAATCCAAGCTCATTCTGAAAACGTAGTCCCGCGGACATTTCTGGAGACAGCGGAATACGTCCCGGGGGGTACGTATGGCCGCATTTATTTTTTTCAAGCGAACGCCGCGGGGCGGTGTGACGCTGTTCCCTTTCGCGCTTGCCTTACCTCCTTGTGGAGGGCTTCCCTGCTGCAACCCGTTTGTCCACTCAGCTCAGCGTGTACGTCGACAGGCTCGAGATGCAGAGAGGGGTCGACCACGGCGACCGGTTTCGAGTCGAAGAGCAGTTCCAGCAATCAGGTAAGACAAAAACAGAATCCCAAAAACTAAGTGAACGAGTTTCGTGACAGGGTGAGAACGCGGCGAAATCCGAAAACGCTGTGGAATAAAAAAAATCAGGGCTTTTATTTTTTTGGACGGCTTTTGTGAACTGTTGCTCGGGTTTAGGGAAGCGAGCGGGCGGGCAGGTCGATCGGTAAAATTGGTTGGGTTCAGGAAAGGAGGAGGGCGAGTCGGCCGATTGGCCGGTCGTGCAGTCAATCATCTGGTCAGTGGGACAGCGGCCTCCGGTGGGTACACGCGAGAACAGCGCGGGCGCGAACCGAGCTCGCGAGAGGATTTCGCGGATTCGCGAAAACAAAAACTGCAGCCGTACGTACCCGCCGGGACGTATTCCGCGGTCTCCAGAAT